GATACGCCATTAAGCACAACAAAGATATTTTACTCAAGAATAAACTTTTGATAATGGACAGAACCACTTGTAAGTATCTCAGAAAAGCAATGAATGGAATTGCGAGGATGTTTGGTGTTCTGCGGAGCGAAACAGTCCTTTTTTTCGTGTCTCCTCCTTCTGAATTAGGGAACATTTTGGCCTTAAATTTATCGAAGACGTCCGAGCTCTGCAAGAGAAAAGCTGTGTGTAAAACGATGTTATCTTAGCTTCCTGGGGTAATCATCAACTTATTATTTCGTAATCAGGCAGAAAAGATTGACTGATGCCGGCTCTCATACAACTGAAGAAAACCCTCATAAACTCTCATGATCTCCGACAAGGAGAGGCACAGAAGGATACTGGCGTTCCTCTGACTACAGGTTAGTGCTTGCGTTATGAATATTCCAATTCTTTACAAGCCAGTTGTAGCTGAAGATGTAAATGTTGTTTCCAAGCATTGACGTAAATCCCTTGTTCTTGTTACCTCTGAAAGGGCTAGAGCCCCATTGCCCCACCCACCCCCCTCCCCTCCCCCATCGGGCTATCGGGATTGCGGGCGGGCCTCCCGTAAGAAACATGACGTTCTTTATGCCAAGTGATAATTTCTTTGTTGATCAAGCTTGCTTGATCAAGATGGATAGATGAGGGTCATGTTGATCTCACCCTAGCTGGATTTGGAACAGTGATAGCTCCTGACAGTAGCCAATTCTCTCTGTTACACGCGTCTGCGGGTAATCATGGTAGTTCTATTCGTCAAGACAAATATCCACTCCAATGGCTCGATACCCTTTGAGAGAACAATAGTAAAAACAACAGAAACAACGCACCTAGCCCTAAAACAATAACAGCTACTACATTATGACGACAAATAGAATTACAAGCATACAAAAGCTGCTACACTTAAGCCAGGATGATGAAAACAACTACCAGCAGAGGGTACTGGACCTTTTGAGACAATCGAATAACTTGCACATATATTACAATTTTCAGAGGAGAGGAGCATGCAAAAGCGTATGTCCACTGGCTTGTGACATCGTTAACTAATTTCCGCCGCATTAGGCAATGTTCCGAGCAGCACTGTTAAGGGTGGACATACGATGCAAGTCTGGTATCGGGTGCAATATTGAGGACAAAGTGACATAGGGAGACGGGACATTAGTTCATGTTCCTCACGCAATACCTCCCCAGTAGTGACATAATGTGGTGCGTGTAGGGGTGGGAGGTTGGAGGAAGGGAGGGGTGGTTTAGTAGCACTTCAAGAGAGGAGATTGTGAACTTGCTTTGTTCTTCCGCTTTCCTGTGTAACCACTATGTCTAGTTCCCTATTTACGGGCATGCAATACTATAGTTACATATCAAATTTTTGTTGTCTGCCTCATCTGACCATCATGTTGTCATTTTTAGGAGAGCAAACTGGGGCTTGAGCTTATGCCTGGCATTTACAGACACCTGGAAAACAAATTGCGTTCTTAATCTACAGGTTAAGGTAAGGGATTAATATTCTTATCTTAGTTAAAGGAATGTACGTAGATGTAGATAAAAACCTTGCCTTACTAGCCTTACAATTAACGTTGCTCCACAATAATCAAAATTCTCACTCCACGAAGTTTTCCTGACTTGTTGAAATGTTGAAAAAGACAAATCATTCCTGTGTTTGTATATTATCTCACAGTTACCGCCAGCTCTGAGTTGTTGTTGTTATTTTTTCATTCATTTTGTTGCGTGACAGAAATCTTGAAAGCTCTAACCACACATGCAAGTACGTCAGGGTTATGCCTTGACCGTCAAGCACAAAACATCACCATAACTTGTTGGTCATTGATTTCGGACAGGCAAGTATTATGTATAAATTCACAGAGGTATTTACTTATTTGCCTCTTCACTTTCCAGGAAAACTGCAGCCTGCAAGGAACAAGCTGAAAATCAACAGCCCCTTCACGTAAGAGAGAGGGACAACTTGAACTAACAAGGCGAGTTGAAGTGATTAGTTTTAACTTAATGTAGGTTTGGATCTGGTTGTTTTGAAACACTAATCCAGAATATTGTCTCTTGCGGTCTTCTCAAAGATAAAAAATTCCAAGCAAACAAACAAAAAACACGCCCGGGTGAAGGAAGACTCTCCATAAAATTTTCTTCAAACCATGGGTAGTCCATGTGTCCTGTTTGTTACCGCAGTTTGTTTTATATTCCTTCGCACCTAGGGGTGCTCGACGGGGTTGCAAATCGTTTCGGCGGGTGGTCACATTTTTACAGTTGCTTCTTATCATAACACCTCAGAGGGTACGTGTCAAATTGATTTGCAAATAACCAGGAACTATTTGCCAAGAGATGTCTGTGATTCGACTGGCGGTTGGCCAGTGTCACTTGCTATTCATTCATCATCAAAGATTTTTACAGTATGTGCATGTACCTCTAGTGATGAGCCACGCCTCCTATGGACTCTGGTACCGTTTAGGAGGGTCTTGTTGAGTTCAACTGATAGATGAGAATTGGTCAAAATTTTACTAGTCAGCTGAGAAATGACACGTGTTTTAACCGATAGCCGAGATCTAAGATGTGCAAAATTTACTGATAGCCTAGAAATGCATGGCTTTAATTTTAAACGATACTGAGAAATAAGCTAGCCTGCGAACGCAGACGTCTCTTGCGGAACCAAATGACAGCCGGAAATATGTCTACGTTCGCGGGCTAAGAAATAGCTGAACAATTTAACTGACAGCCGATATTCCAGCACATTCCCCCTTAGGCTTGATTAGGTTTATTGGGAAAAAAAATTGCTGTCTTCCACTCTTCCCCTTACTTTTATATATGGAAGTCTCCCTGAAAAAAAGTTAACTTGTGCAATAAAATGTAATTTGCAACAATTTTTGTCTTTGGGTTTCGTTTGTTTGAAAAGTATTTTCGCCCAAGAACAAAATTCTAATGTGTCCTGTATTTAGCCGAGTTAATTTGCACTCGGCTGAGTGTTTAAATTAAGTCGTAAGCTTTAATTATTACAAATTTTTCTAATACACTGGTGTTTTGATTTTCTTGTAGGAGTGAAGAAGTTTATGGATTATAATTTGACGATGCTGTAGAATTGAGACTTAAGTCCTCGTAATTTTTTCCTTGCTTTAGAATTTTTACTCACAAAGTGAAAGTTGTAGAATAAAAAACGCGAAAGCTCTTTGTACATCAATTCAGACTGAAATGTAACTGACATGGAAACCACTGCGGCATGGTTCAGTTCAGAGAAGATTCAACACACGCTATTTGAAGGAGCGAAACTATCAAAAAATATTCTAAGTCTTTTGGCGGTAAAACTGTAGCCTCGTTGCATCTCTTAACGGGAAACGTAACACGCTTTTAAAAGGAGCCTGCAAATTAGTCAAAAAATAAACTAAGTCATTTGGCGGGAAAAAAAGGCTGCGATTTTAAATAAAGCCCTGAAATTAGTCAAAAAATAAACTAAGTCTCTTGGCGGGAAAAATCTGTGACATTTGCAAACAGATTTAGCTCGTCAAAAGATTGCATTTATTTTGACTTGTTTCTTGGCCTCGTTTAAAGTGCAGAAATTTTTCCCGCGTAGGCAACCATACATAGTCAAAATATAGTAAAAGAGATAGCCTACATTTTAACTAGTTTCCAGGCCCTTTTAAAAGCGCATTCTTTTCTGTTGTTCTTTGTTTAAATAAAGCACGACTCAATGAAATATTTCAACGTTTGTTTATTTGAGTTCATTAGAACTAAGTGATATACAAGTTGTAACATTTATGAACTAGCCTGCGAAAAGCATTCGTGATATTTACAAAGATCAATACAACAAAATAATATAACTAAACATTCTGTTCACAAAATAAGTCGCTCAGAAAATAAATATGAAAAATATCAATATAGTAATTATTAAAACGAGCAATAAAACTAGAAGTCACCTTTGACTAAAAGCTCCCCTAAACATCGTCGTTATAATGAGCCTGAATCGCTGTCTTGAATCAAACCATACAACATACCAAGAATTCGTTTCTATAACTAAGAGTACTGATCACCGAGGAGCAATACTTGAAAGGCAAATTCCAGAAATTCAAGATTGGCTTTTTGCGTCAAACTGTATCAAAAATTACTTCTGGTTATAAATAATTTGCTTTTGCTTTGATTCAGTAAATCAAACACGAGAATGTGTTATACCACATTTCCGGACACTACCGAGAGACGTGTTTAAAATACAAAGCGCAACGGAGTATTTGTGATAAATTTTGACGTGTTTGAAAATATGGAAAACACTTTCTCGAGTGTTTGATATATGTTCTCAATCGAGACCAAAACTAAGGAGAAAACGAAGATATAAAATCGTAAACATCTATGCTAATTAAGATCAGATATCTACACATCGCTCGGTTGTCATTTCTTTTGTTTTTAACAGAAAGTGACTCCACAAAAATCTTCGTGAAACACTCGAAACTGAACTATCAAACTGTAGTCAAAGAGAAGAATGAATTGACTAGTGTCGAAAAAATGGAAATTATGCGACGCTCCTATATTAAAAATTCTCAATGCACTAGATGCGAACCCACGTTGTACATGATAAGGAAACTACAGACTGAGAGAGATGTAATAATAGCAATGTTCAAAGAAAATTGTGACCAGTAATTAAGTTACATTTTGATTATCTGAATATACAGTTCTTTCAAACGCGAAAAATTGTTTGCCGCATCAAAATTCACGTCGATAGATTTGCATTATAATAAAAAAAAAAAAATCAACATCGCGGCTTTCGTGTACGCCGAGCTACGCAAGGTCATTCAAGGTCAGTCGAACTTCAGGGGATCATTTTTTACAATTTTTGGTAAAAATGTAAATTCAATTTTTCTAAATTCCGCAATGCGTAATTCACTTGAATTCCCTTTTGCTACTATGTCCTGCGTAACATTGAGGGCCGGCAGAAAGATGTTTTTCAATGTAACAAGTCTTTTCTTTTGATGAATCCAATGTCTGGCCCGAGGTAGAGAGGCGTTCTTCTGAGTTTTCCTAATCAACTGGCACATGGAAATTAAATGAATGAACTTTAAAGCTATCACACCGTGATGACACCAAAGAGAGAACATCTCGATCAACATTTTCTTTCAGTTACTTCCACTTTCGTTTACTTGCATTTTATTCTTGTAAAACAATTGACAAATTCACTGAAACAAAACTTCTAACTCAATCTTCTCCACTTTGGCTATTTATGGCAAAACACCAAAAGGTGATGTTAAATTTAAAAAGGTTAACCAAGACAATTTAAATTTCGAATTTAAAATTTTTAGTACTGACTTTATCATAATGATTTTGTTTGTTCTTTTTAATATTAAGTACCCAGCATAAAAAACAAATTTCTCCTTCATTTCTCATTTTTTGCTTGTGGTCAATGGATTTTGACTTACAATTGAGAATGCTTCTACGCCCAACCAGACATTTGGGTTTGATATACAAAAATTCTCAAAACGAAACGAGAACGAACACACGTTTTTTCAAAAGGACACTAGTTGTACTAATCAGATAACGAAACAAACGTGTGAATCTTTTCACTGTAGCACTGTCGAGTGCATTGTAGAAATTAACAGACATTTCTTGCTACACTTCAATGTTATGTGCTAAGTCGACATTCAGTTAGCATTAATTTTCTATAAAAAATATCTGTTTGAAAAATAGTGTCATGTTTTAGAGCTCTTTCGTCTTGTAGTGCCACTTTAAATCTATGATATCGACAGTCAGTGTAACCATAGTGACTAGTAGTAATGAGTATTAATATTTTGATAACAACCTTGATCGATCGATAGTACAAAATCGAAAACTCGTCTTTGCTTTTGGCGACAAATTTACCTACCAAAAATTACATGTGCTAAACATCATAACAAATTTGTTTAAAGGTTACACTTCTGGCAATTTTAACATCGGCGTGAATTTACTATCAATTCTGAAAATCCCTAGGTTTGCATTGGTCTCTAAAATAACGAACACCCCTCTAAAACTATTTCAGAAAATGGCGGTGATCAAAATGTTTATTCAATAAAATAAATTGCGCCAATTTCCTTGTCCGTGGTGTTTACCTTTTTCGTAACTAGTCCGATATGGCAAGGCAACTACGGCAAGTGAAGTTCTCTCCGGCAAATCTACTCATTTGATCAGTCTATTTACTATTACTATTCGATAATTCTTATCTTTGCAGGAATTTCTCTTGATGCAAAGATCCCAATTTGCCTTCATGACCAGATTCCTCTTTCGTTGCCTCCTCACCTGGTCAATAGCCATATCCTGAAATCCTGAAAATAGAAATGATCAATTCCCTGATCAGCAAATTCTCAATTTTTTACAACATGAAAGGTTATAAAGAAAACACTCTATCCTGAATACATAAGTAACTGTTGGTCTTTGACGCGTCACGTAAAATGGGACGCACGCGTGTCTACGCGCGCGAGAGTGGAGAAAATTCGCGAGCAACTTTCTCGAGATTTATCTAGAAAGGTTTATAATTTAAAGTTCTCGACTCTATAGCAAAAATTCCGACAACATAGTGCCTAAATGAGACAAGGAGAGTTAGCAAGGGTTATCTCCACAAATAACGCTCTATGCATTTAGAAATAGAAATATTGCACGCACCCGTGGTCCCGTCGAAATTTTTAATATCCTCTATAGCGTCTATTTGCACAATTATACCACTAAACTGTCGTTTAGTTCACGCCACTTTTGCTCCATTGAGACGAATCAAAATGCTGCTTTTTTGTCGAGTTTCAAGTTGAAGCGACGCTTATGGCGGACAGTTCAGCTGCTCCATATGTTCTTAAATTCCTTGAGCTACACTTGATATCTGTCCAGCTTAACGCACAAAATTAAAGTATCAATAAAGTAGTGTTTCCCAAAAACAGTGCTTATACCTTCGGTTGAAATAGAGTTGACTTTTCTCCTAGCCTTTTTCCATCTTCTTTCAGCAAGAATATACACTCGTCTTTGTAAGAACAACAGGCCTTCGCACATCCACGAACATTAATTTCTGGAAAATTCAACAGTTTGTCATGAATATGGATAAGAAATTGATCATTACCATTGATCAGCTTGCACGTATTTTCGTCTGGCCAACCAGGAGCCGCGACAGAGAGACATCGCACGTACTAATTACGGTACATCTTTGAAAAAGCAGCGTCCACGTTACGCCGGAGAAATTTGAAGACCCAGCTTCAACGGTTAGGCCTACCGTCCACACTAATCCGTCACAAAAACGGAGCTTTTCGAAAACGCTCTTGAAACCGGAGGAATTTGAAAACGCAGGCTTTGCGTTTTAGCGTGGACGGAAA